CAATGAGAATAAAATCAGGTAAAAACGAAGCTTAGGACTCTCTTCTCCATCTAAATATACTTTTGAAAAGCATACTATTGATTACCTGTCCTGTTGGGTTGCCTGGATTTATTACAACCAAGGCCCTAACAGTGATGCCTTTGGACCTGGCAGTCTCGACTTGTTTCTTAAGCTCAGATACTTCCAAACCTCATCCTGTGGATTCATCAAGATAGTATGGAACCTGCAAATAAAAAAAAAAACAACCATAACAATTGGCCAATCAATAAATCCGTGAACGATAAAAGAAATATCTATTTCCAAGCATTCTACAAATCATACCAAAGGCAGATAAAACTAACCCTCAAGAAACATAAAGCAACTTGATTTTGGTAAATTAAAGCTTAGCCAATAACCAGCAAAAAGAAACTATTTCAGCAACAGCTAAACCAAGATAACTTATAAATATCAAGAAGTCCAAACAAGGCTTTAAAATATGATATGCATTCCAAAGATCCACCATGCAGAGCAATTGAAGCAGAGTATAAAGGATACTGAGGGATGGGACAGAGAATTCCATTCTTCTCAGATCTTATCAGTAACTGCATCATCATATGAACCTGTAGATGAGAAAAAATATTTTTCATTACACAAGTTTTCATGAGGAACTCATCATTCAGCTTCGAGATAGAAACTTACTGCAGGGCTGGCACCATCTGTCAAGAAAATATCATTTGGATCAGCAGGAAAACCATCCCGAGCTTCGATTCCAGCAGCAATGGTATCTCGTAATCCCTTGACACCCTGTTGCCCAAAGAAAATGAAAAAGTATGAACAGCATGCAAGCATAAATTGTAAAAGTTTCAAGAGGCGAGCAATGATAACAACCTGGCTATGACTGTAGGCACCAGTTGCCCTTCCAGGAATTTGATCAAAAATTTGCCAAGCACGTTCTATGGAGTCCGCACTGTAAAAGGCCACAAACCAAATTACATGAGGCAAAGGAATGAATGTCAAAGAAAAAAATCATTATCTGCCGAAGTAAAGATTCTACAGTTATCAAAAGAGAACATCTCTTTATGTATTGCCTTTCACTGGGCTCAACCAAAGTTGATGGAGTTCTTTATGAAAAATCAATCATGGATTATTTTGTTGAAATCTAGATATCCGGAAAAAACAACTATTCTGATAGACTCAACCAAAAATGGAAGCTTTTTTTAGCAAAATATAAGTGGGGTATGTAAATTCTAGACTCATAGGAGGAACATATCTTCTTCTAGGTACCTATAAAGAACATTATAAATTTGTTTCCAGTAAAACATAAGGGGTAATATGTATATCTTCTACTCATATGCTTAACGCTGTGGTCCTGTGGATAAGCCAGATTAAACACACCTCAAAATTGATATCTTTATTGGGTGACAGAAAATAAATGAAACAATTATAAAATTTAACAGAAACAACCACAAAGCTTATGGCCAATATTAATTCTCGGTACCTGAATAAGCCCTAGGTTTCACTTTTGTCCAAAATGGCTGGATGGTCGCATAATGCAAGAACCTATTCCAAAGACATCCTAGTTAGAATTGCTTCATTCACATGACACAACTTTATGGTAATGAATAACACCAAATAAAAAAAAAAACCTCTCGGAAAAAAGTTATCGGCTGCTGACCAAGAGACTGAGGATTTCCAATGTTGCAGTACAATATCTGTAAAATAGGATTAACATTTAATACCAAAAACAAAATAAATAAGTTAAAGCGTCAAGTAAAAATTCATGTAATATGATCTCCCAACGCCACCACATCCAATTTCCACTCCTCTACATAACCTTTATTGTGACTCAGGAAGCATGCAAATAAACACAATTACTTCTACGTGAGAACACCATCCAGCCCACAGAATTCCACAACCATCAATGTCAACCAAATGAAATCCACAAGTCCAACATAAGAAGTCTCTTTATTGTACATCAAGAGGGGCAAACCTTTAAGCAATCCATCATTCTCAGATGGTAATATGAGATAAGCATGACGTTTCTACAGAACCATGGGAGAGAAAAAGGATAGGGGAAGAGGATATAGTCTCAATGAAGTATAAATCCAACTCTTCAAGTGTCCATTAGAAAATTTTCGAGTAAAAATGAAATATACCTCTTCAAAGGGATGAGCCTCTGGCTTGGCCTTTATATCTTCTTGCAATTTCTGGAAAAGATATAAAGAAAATATCATTAAAGCAGTATTCCATAAATTTTACACTAAATACATTCGGCTTCATATACAAAACTATATCAATAGAATTTACTTAAAGGTCCAAAAAAATGAAAACAGTCGATTAACATGAACAAAGATGCTCTAATTACCCAAAAGTCACCATTTAATCCATTTTCGATTATACTTGAATGTGCATGCAAGCATGATAATATATAACTTTAAACAATTAAATTGTTAAAACTACATCAAAGATGAAGCATATTGACACATAATTACCTGTGCAAGGGTGACAATCTCACCACGGACTGCATATTCGCATTCTATAACCTGGATAAAGAGAGAACTAGCAATAAGCAAACAGACGTATGATTCAAAAGGTATTAGGAGGTTCAAACTAGAATGATAATATTGCATATATCCGGAACAAATAAATAGAAGTGCTCAGAAACTTGAATTCTCCACTTTGCCATTGCCCCTATCATTTCCTTGTTTGCAAACGGTGAGCTTTAACCAAAAAAGCGGCTTAATAGACGATACAAAGATTGATTTGAGCACAAAAGGACTACATCAAGTCAGTACATGTACTAAAAACAGATCCCAAGCCAATGTAAAGTGGCTATCATATATGATGCAAGAGAGAAAAAATGAACTGGTCCCGTGAAAGATAAGTAGTACAAAAAGAAAGCGAAGAACCCTTAAGACATTTACACATTAATACTCAATAGGAAAGGAAATGAATAAACAAGCACAACATCAATCTAATGAGTTGACTAGTGAAAGATGGGTATAAGAAAGTGTTGATTCGAAAGGTAGAGCTCCCTGACTCCAATGCAACTCGATTACTACCTAAAGTTAACAGATAATAAAATGAAGCAATAGCTGAGGATGGCATAGGAATTGAATGAATTCAAAACCCGGTCCTCACATTCAATGATGTAGATTTTTTGAGATAACAAGACAAACACGACAAACAAAGAATAAAACCCAGATTCAAAAACATCAAATCAAATACTAAACAAAAATAAAGAAGAGGAAACAAAAGAAACCCAGATTCAGCAACGCTCCAAACGGAAGAAAAAAAAGGTAAAAAGGGAGTACCTTGGGGTTAATAGTATTAAGTGTTACAGGAGGAGCCATTGTTGAAGAGGAAGAAGGGGAATCAGCAGGAGGAGCAGAAGAAAATAATCGATATGAAGAGGAAAGTAGAGGCCGTTGAAACTGATAGTTTTGACGCGAATGTTGAACGAGGTTTCTAGCACTGCCAACCACAAATCTCCGCATATCTGCCTATATATACACACACAACCTACACGCCTAAAATAAAATCAGAGGCGAGAAGACAAAAAGAGATTCTATGCCAGGCCTTTTAGGCGCAATTAAAGACTTGGTTTTTCTTTTTCTCTCGCATAAATCGAAGAGGACTTGAACTTGTAGTTAACCTTCCGTTTAGCCCACGGTTCGATATTTTTGCGTGTCCCTAAGCCCAAGGGCAACTCCCTATACGCTAAAACCCACAGCTTGTTCGAGCTTGCGTACTTTTTACCATTTACCAGATTTAATGAGAATTGGTCGGACATGAATACAAGTAAATTTGACTATATATTCAACTGGTGTATAGTATTTATATTAAACAAACTTCCACTTCAAATTCCTTTCTCCCCGCATTACTTCAGAATTAAAAATAAACGAAGGCTGATGATCTGTTTTATTGAATTAGAATGAGCATAATACAGGGCTGGCGATCTCTTTTAATTTGGTACAACACACAACTTGCCTTTGTGAATTAAGAGAAATAATCCTTGTGGTGTGTGGAACATTGCAGAAAGTCGATATAATTCAATAAAAATCAGACGAACAAGATTTGTGAAGAACCGAGCAAGCTGTTCTTTGGGACAAACGAATGGTCAGAGCCGGATGAATTACTCAGCAGCCAAGCATTTTGACTTACAAATTAGCAACGGAAATGCATTAAACATGTGGATAAAGCATAGAATTAGGGACCAGTTTTCATTTTTTTTAGTCAATGAATGCAAAGATCTTCACCCAAGTTGTAAACTTCGTTCCTATTGTAATGCCTAACACCTAAGCTTTGTCAGCTTTTGGTTTGACATAAATGAGATAATCTTAGCCATAGTTGAATTTTCTGTCAAAGAATAGAAGTTATTGGAAATGGATTAGCATGTATTCGCCTGTCAGGTCCACACAAGAAGATAAAGCCTTAATTAAAAAGGAAATAAAAGAATTAAGAAGAGAGATAAGATCAAAGTGAATAAAGAACTAATTTAGGACAGTTTCTATGTTTTGCATGATTCATTCTGATATTGCAGCTTCTTTCTTGGTCATGGATTAGGATGTACTTGTTTGCCGTTTGCCAGGTGCATAAGAAGATATGTCTTCATTTATAAAAAAAAAGGGGATATAAGAACACATTAATAATTAACAACTTTATCCGACAAAATTTATTATTTCGAGTTAATTGCAGACTGATGCAATTTATATTGGTTTGATAAAGGCAGTCTGCACATTACGCCAATTGCAACTGAGGCGGGAATTTCACTCTATCACGCTCAACCTCATACCTTAGCCACAAACTACAACCCTCATTTGAACTAGAACATAGGCTGAGTTTATTTGATGAAAAAAAGGGGGGGGGGGACAACGAAAGTCTGCAGGCAACCTTTTGGGTTACTGTTAAAGAATGTACAGAATGAAAATATAGGGTGTAAAAGGATTTGAGTTATGAGTTATACATATTACATGTATAGTTCTACAAAGCAATTTTTATGTCAAAAAAGAAAAGGGCAAAAAGGGTAAAAAAACCATCATCTTAGTATTTGATCTTGGAACTTAACCCCAACCTTGACTCGGTTATGAAATCATAAAGCCGGTTCATAAGATACAGTAGCATCAGGCAGCCAATCATGGCCTTGTATAAGCGTAGCCACTGTGAACTTCCCAGCGTCAGCATCCGAGAGAGTGGACTTATAACCTGCCCATTTCACCCTTTTATCCACGGTTGATCCCGGCCCAGTATTTTGATATTCTGCATAGAAAATTGTGCTTGGTGGGTCAACATTAGTAACCCATTCTCTCCATCCCACAGGGTTCAAGAACGGCCCAATGCTAGACTGCATAATAACAGTGGTGGAATACTCTTTCCATGGCCTACCAAGATAAGTATTGGTAGTAAGGTTGCCGAATGCAGATATTGTACACTTTTGGATTGAAATGCCAGCGTTTTGGTTTGGGTCATTTTTGCCTTGAGCTGTGATGGTGTTGAACTGGTTAGGCAGTGGTTGCCTTGGCATGATGTTGCAGCTTTGGAACACTACCGCTGCATTCCCAAAGATGAAGTCAATCGTGCCCAAAATGTCACATTCTTTGTAAAACTGACGATTGGAATGAGCATAGAGCGTATCCTGGTAGGCATCGAATGCAGAGCGGTAGAATACCGAGCGATCGGATTGGGACCGCATAGCTACTGCTTGGTGCTTAGCTGCACCTGCTGTGTTTTCGAACCCTATGTCTTTTGCGATGAATCCCCTTCCTGCCACAGCTGGTAATTCACACAAAGTACTATCAGTTTCTTTATCCATATAATTAAAATCAAGCTGTTGAAAAACCAGTTTTCCATATTGGCATCAATGATCAAATGTGATTGAAATGACCACATTGATGAGACCTGAGGGGAGCATTGAAGAAGAATTTTCTTTAGATGCATCAAGGCCTTGTAAACTTATATAATTCAAGTCACATGGCAGTATCTATCAGTTGCAGGCCTTCTTAAATTATTTAGATGACTGGCACCACATGGGCAGACACTCGTATATCACAATTCACAAACGAGTCAGGCACATGGTGGGGCAACCAGCATTAATTTCCAGAAGGAACCAGAGGCAACTAAACATTAAAGTGGGAAATGCAGAATTTAGGAAACTGCAACACTTCTTCACATGGTAACATGCAAGCACAATGTGGTTTTTTTAGTGTTGTTCATAAAATATCTCACATTCTGCTGATTTCAGCTTCATCACGGTTTAAGATGTTTTCAGAAATGCGAGGGACAAAGACAACATAAACAAATTGAGGGTTTGCTAAATTGCTATAGATCATAAAATCTATCTGAAACCATAGATTTGAAACTGATAAAAACAAATAGTAAATAGTAGATGGTGTCATTTTCTGTGAAGATAGAAAATTACTTACCGAAAGTTGCTGTATCAAAGGTGGGAGTTCCATCAACAAAGTTTTTGCTGCCGGAAATTATAGTCTTAGTCTTGCCATCACCGTAAATCATGACATTCCACTTGTGTTTATCCAGGATCACATTCTCTACATACTTGCCTTCCTTCACATATATAACAAATCTAGATTCGTTCTTCTTTCCGATCAATTTCACCGCCTCGTTAATTGTCTTGAAATGACCAGAACCATCTTGAGCAACAATTACATTTGGTGTAGGCTTGGACTCCTGCAACAGTCTCCTTTCAGTGGGATGAATCCAAGCTGGGAACTCTGAAGATGCAATCCCAAGCAGCCTACGGTGGATCGGAATATTGAAATCAGTCAACAAACCCAGGATTTTAGCAACGATGGCCAAACTGTTGCTGGCAAATTCAGTTGAGTTCTGCATGGCGGCTCTGAGTTCTTGGACAAGTGTGGCGTTGAAGTGCTCTGTAGTGTTCAGTTCCTCCAGGGTGTCTAAGCATGTTTCTTGATCAGTTATCGTTGTGCTTAGCCAAGTCTTCAAGTCATTGATCTTGGAATCCGACAATACCGACTCTCCTTCCCCGACTTCCAGGGAAGTTGCCGAGTCATTGAGTCGATCCAACGCGTCATCAAACAGGGATCCGCATATATCTAAAGCATGTTTCACCTGGAGGTCATCGGTTTCAGCTTGTAACTTCTTGGGATATTGAGACAACTTAGCGAGCTCGTCGATAACAACTTTCAGAGACAACTTGAAGAGGATCTCTGGGTCAGTAGCGTTTGAGGATGCAATGGAAGATATGCTGGAGTAGCAGGAAAGTGGGTACTCAGTCACGCCGCAAACCGCCTTTAATGAAGCCACCGGAGTCAAATCAGTTGGGGGTACATTGTGGGAAGACGAGTTGTTTCTCTTGTGTATCAGAGTCCCCGCAACAGCGCCAATGATAACGGCTAGCAGCACGATAATGGAGATAACGAGGACGATGAGACGCCTTCGTGTCTTTTTCTTGAAAGCTCGCTCTTCGGCCTCGTCTATTTTTCCATAGCCCTTGAAAGACTTGATTGAATCCATGGCTCTTTTTTTTATCTTCTTCAAATTTCTCTAATGGACTTGCCTGTGGATCGAGTCCTTTTTATATAGAGAAAGAGAGGAAAGAGGTGAAAGGTAATATCTTTCTTGGATGCTTCTCTGTTAAGAAAATATTATTATCATGATCGACCATGGGAATGGACATAATAAATTAGCATTTTTATTTTCATTCACTAACATACATATGCTTCTGCCATAATCACACCTTGCATTCAAATTTCAATGAGATTTAAAATATTGCACAAACAACAAAGATTACTCATCCCTGACAGACAATTTTGATAATCACGTCTTATTCTTAAATAATATATCGTAGTCCCACGATCCTTACTCGGTTTCGTGATTTCGAAAATGCATTAAAAAAAGGGACTTAAGTTGGTGTAATTATTTTACATATTAGAGAGGATGGAGTCTTACCACCAATTCAGTGGACTAATACCAAAAATGACTGCATTTTGTGGGCCTTTGGGCCCAAAACGTTTTGCAGCTTATAAACCACTGTCAAACGAGTAGGAATAAACTTAGGCATAATATCAGTGTCTAAATTATAGCCAAAAAATAGGTGTCTAATATTTTCGCTGTTATATTTTTAGGTTTTTACTGTTAAAAAAATCATTAAGTGACATGTGTCGTATTTATATTTTTTTTTATTTTTTAAAAAATAAAATATTATTTAATTTTTTTAAAAAAACCATGAATGTGATACATTTCACTCAATAGTTTTTTTAACGGTGGACACTTAAAAGTGTAACGGAGAAAACATTAGGCATCTATTTTTAACGAAAAATTCTTTAGACACCAAATGTCAATTTTGAGTATAATTTAAGCACTTATTTTTAGATTAAACTTAAACTTAATGTATACATCAACTATAACCCATGAGTGGAATTGATATTTTACTAGAGGGATTATCAAGAAAGCTAAAGAAGTGTGTATAAGTTTTATTTGAAAGGTAAGAATTCTTCTATTACAGATGCAAGGGTGAGATGGAAAACAATTGATTCTCCTAAAATGGAAGATAAAATGGAAATGAAGGATTTAAAGATTTGAAATAAGACATGTATCATTTAATTGATTAGAAGATTCATGACAAATTAACGCTTATTTTAAATAATTTTTTTTTGAATGACAACAAAGAAAGCACTAAGTAGCCAGGCTCCAACGATCTAAATCAGCCTTATAGCTCAACTGCACCTCAACTGGAGGTGATCGAAAAACATGCAGTCCGAGTGAAAGACTCCAAGCAAGCCTCACTGAAGTATCCGCTACCAAGTTCCCTTCCCTCATAACATGAACAAATTCCAACTCCCAATCTCTGCAAATAATATCAGCAATGTGCGGAACAAGACTCAAAATCCTCTCCATGTTTCTCTGTAGAGAACGGTTGTAGGAGATTATTTCTGTTTGTACAGTTAGATAATTAGTTAGTTGGTTTTGGTTAGTTTACAAGTTAGTTAGCCGTCCAGTTATTGTATAAATAATTTGGTTGTATAATCTTATACTGCAGTGAAATAAAAAGAGCATTTCCAGTATTCTTTGGTTATCATTTTAACATTCTCCCACAAGACAAGAGCCTCCAAACTTCCTTATTATCAGTCTCAAGAATAACCCGTCGTATACCCTTGCGCCAAGCCAATTCCAATCCCTCAAGCACGCCCCAACGTAATAATGGCTGGAGTTGAAAGAAAATTCTTAGGCACAGAAAATAAACTATTGAGGTATTGTATTATTTAACAAGTAGAAATTACGATATTATTATTACTACAATTTAAAATGAGACAACACTGAAAAAAGAAAAAAAATTAGATGACAAGAGATTATTTAGCATTCACGTCATATACTAAAGCAATATTACATTGTTTAGACGATCATTCTCGAGATATTTTTAAGAAATTAAAGGGTAGTGAGAAAGAATACGATGGTGATGAGCATTGTGTATTATGCGTAATTGGAACATTGAAACGTGAAATTATTGATTTGATGGATATAGCTTTACAAAATGTGTCATAAAATCTGTTTGGAAGCTGGTGTTGATACAACATAATTTGTATAGGAACGTGACCGACAAGTACCAAGAATTTCATCAAGTAAACCCCACTTTACATAAATTTTTCCCTCAAACGATTTCTTGCAAGTTTTCAACAAAATGCAACTAAAGAGGGACACAGTTTATCTTAACGGTAGCTTCAGCGCATATATATATATATATATATATATATATACACTAATTCCTTTTATATTTTTATTATTTTTATATGTAGGCTATTATTGATTGAAGTTTTCAACTTGTTTTATATAAATATTATGTTTTTATCTCGTATAAATTTTAATTTTAATTATACAATTTTTTTTATTCTTGTTATAATTTTTCGAGTTGATGAATACTCAATTCTTTTTTAACATATTTATTTTTATTGGAAACGATATGATACTAATAAAATGATCCATTATCTTGTTATGTTAGTCTCGAATAGATTATTTTAGTTAAAATGTACTTTTTATAACATTTTAATTATTATTAATGGTGTTAATAATTTAATTATTATAAATTATTCTTAAAGATTTAGGTGTGATTGTATTGAAAATATTTGATGACTTTGAGAATAAAACTTTTAATTATTATGCAATTGATTTCTTTTCATGTGAATGAAAAAAAAATAAAAAAAATCTCATTAATGATTGGATGGCACTTGTTTCTCAAAGGTTTGACAGTTTCCTTCATCAAACCGTATAATTTTATTATTCATTCAAAGAAAGTTGATGTGGCATGAATTAAGCGGCTTATTTGACAAATGAATTGTTTTTTTAACTGAGTTTAAACATTATAGATGTCAAGGGTGTAAACGTTCATTATTAAAAGGTTTAAAATTATCTTCAAATAAATATTGTATTATACAGATTATAAAAAAAATTTATGTCATTATGTTTGGGTCCTCCTCACTTCGACGTATTCAAATGTGATTCTTAAGAATGATACGACCCTCTGCCATGTGCGTGAAACATCATCTACGCGTTGAACATGCCAGTGATTGCGCCAACTTTTATTTCTCAATAAATTTGTTTAATTATTTGCATTATGTGAATATTAAGAAATTAAAATGCATCTTCTGACATGGTTATCGGCAGCATTTCAACGTTCCATTTGTCAATATGATAAAACGTTTTCAATAAATTCTTGAGTTATTCGAAACACTATTAGCTGGAATTGACATTTTCTATTTTAATTAGTCTTAGGAGAGATGAGGAATCGACCAATGAAAGTGCAAGAGTTAACTTTTGTTTTTGTCATCAGACAAAAAAATTGAAGAAAATTTTGGCATACACTTATTATTACTTTTAAATCAGTAATAATTTAACAGATACATGGCCACAAATTAATCTCAAACCAAACAAGAAGTAGGTGCTACATGACAATACAATAGCTTCAAACTTATTACAACCCAAGAGAGAAGGGAAAGCCTGTAGAGCTTAACCAGCTTCCACCGGCAATGAACCTGCCAGGAGTGAAAGCCTGAGCCTCGGTTGCACTAGTGATCACCTTGTACCCTCCCCATTTCACCCTCCCAGAGGTTGAAGCACCGGCGCCGGTGTTCTGGTACTCGGCATAAAACAAGGTTCTCAGGGCGAAACTCCCACTCCACTCGTGCCACCCAACAGGGTGAATCACATTACTGATGGTCGATTGCATTATGACAGTTCTAGAATATTCCTTCCAGGGCCTGCCAAGATATGTAGGGAAGTTATTTATAACAGCCTGCAAATCAGAAGTGGCACCTATCCTACATTTCTGGATCACAATGCCAGAGTTTTGGTTAGGGTCGGTCCTGCCTTGGGCTGTCACCATGTTCTTCTGCCCTGAGTTTGGTCTCCGAGCATGGATGTCACAGTTTTGGAACACGGCTGCAGCGTTGCCGAAGATGAAATCAACAGTTCCTGCTACGAGGCAGTTGACATAAAACTGTCTATTGGAGTGAACGTAGAGAGTGTCTTGGTATGCCAGCATGTCACATTGGTAGAATGCCGATAGATCAGAACCGACACGGAGGGCAACGGCTTGGTGCTTTGAGGGACCTGCTGTGTTTTCGAAGGTTATGTCTCGGGCAAGGAACTTTTCACCAACCACAGCTGCAACCACATGGGAACATATATCAGCATACAAATCAAACTTCAAATACTGTAAGATTAAATCAGCAAGTACAAAAAGCCAACGCTTTTATTTGGCATATCATATAGAACTTAATGAGGTCCCATGTGATTCTGTATGATTCAGAGTACTACTATAAATTGGCTCAACGGCACATGTTGCCTGCAGTTTAATGATGTAGCTGCCTAAAAAGAAACATTGCTAAACATCAAATCAATTGTTTTGAATTTTGACTTTCTGATTTCAGCTCAAACTATGTAGCTACCTCAACTGCTCACAATATCATCGTGCAAGCTTGTGTTGGTTGGGCCCTTCCAAGTTCCAACATCAGCCATTGGAGCCTTATTGGGATGGCTTCCAAGTGTATAATCAAAAAAGGGAAAGAAAATAAAATATTGTATTGTACGTTGGCTTGGCGTGCCTAGTGTGATTTGAGTGCATCAACTTGTCACGTGGTTTCAGCCAGGTGATAAAAAAAATTAAAAGCAACAGCTATCATCCACGGAAGAAAATTGTTCTACGACTGACTGAGACAAGTCAATGAAGCAACCCCTAGTCCCAACAATCAAATTTCAATCACTAAACTAAAAGAAGCAAAGTTTGTCTACAAAAATCAACGCTTCGATTTAAACCTCTGTCTAGAAAGAAAAATATAAGAAGGGTATGGGAAGTTCATGGTAGGGTTGAGAATGTATGATCCAGCGTAAAATTATAAATGGTAATGGGGAAAACGACATCCACAAGTTGTCACCCGACAACTAGTGATTCGGTGGATTATTTGTCCATTTTGCAAAATGTTCTTTTAATACACACTGTATGTTAAAATATAATATCCCGTTTGAAGAATTGGCCT